AATTAAGGAAGCACCGGTGGCACTGAGTGCGGTGCTGTGTCGGGGCAGGGAGGAGAGCGCAGCTTCGATGTGGGGAGGGGTTGCTGAGCGCCTCCTTCTCTTGCCAAATTCCTCCCCAGCTCTTGGGGTGGGTGTCTCAGCAGAGCCGGGGCTGGTCGGTGCCGTTCCCTCCGCCCCTGCTCGTTCGAGTGTTCGTGTTGCTCCTCAGGCTTTACCTGCCCTCCGTGTCAATAAACTCATTTCCACCAGGCTCTGGCTGCGTGTGGCTCTGTGGGGATGGGGAGAGGAGGAGCCATTCCCGACACTGGCTCTGGACAGGGGAGCAGCAGGGCTGAGGGCTGGATTTGGTGGGAAGGAGGCTGCTCACCCACCAGGCTTCTCCTTCCACCAGTCACTTCTACAGCACAGACCCCCCCAAATCTGGGGCTTGCAGGGGGAGGAGGCAGCAAGTTTCCCTGGTCCTCCAACAGCTGCTTCTCCTCATCTCAAAGGGCAGCAGGGACAGATTCAGATGAGGAGCAGAAGATGGATGTACCCTTTTATGTACCCTTTTTAGTGATTTAGCCCTTTTGGGGCCCCAGGTGGGTTTAGTGTGACCTGTTTTTCCTGGGATGAAATAATAAAATCCTGGGAGTCAGTGATGGGTTTGGATTGCTTTGCAGTGGTGCTGTTGTTTCTCAGAGGGCTTTGCCATCTCTGGTGCCATCCCAAGCAAGATGGGTTGGGCTGCAAAACCTCTGTGCCAGGCCAGAGCCAAGCTTGGGCAGCCCCAAACTGCCTGAAGTGGCAGAAATCCAGCAGAACAAGCAGCAGGTCTGGGAGGTGTTGCTCTAGAGCAGAGTGACCTTTTCCCTCACCCTGCCCAGCCTTAGCTTAGCAGCACCTGGATTTTTGGGAGCTCTCACCCTCTCTGGAGGGCAGGTGCCATATCAACCAGTGTTGGCCTGCACTGGGATTTGTGTTTCGTGTCAAGTAACAGCAGTGACAGGTCTGGGGTCCCTGATCTTGCTGTTGTGTCCCTTCCTGCATCCCTGGTGTGCCTGGGATGGGATCATCATTCCCTGCTGGAGCAGCATTTGGCCCAACAGGAGCAAAAGCTGCTCTGGGTTTCTCAGGGCCGTGCCCTGTCAGCTGCTGTCCCTTCATGTCCTGTGGCAAAGGGAAAGGTTTCTTCCTCCCTCCCTGTTCTGCCAGAGGCTCCTCGAGAAAAACCTGGTCTTTGCTGCTGCCAGACACTGTTCCCTGTCAGCAGGGACACACCAAGCCTGGGAGCTGGATTTGTCACCCGTGGGGCTCAGGGGACACAGGTGATGCTCCCTGAGCTGGGAAGTGCCAGGGGGGATTGGTCCCCGCAGCCTTCCCTGTTCCTGAGGCCCGTGATGTGGGACAGGGACCTCCTGAGTTGTTCCTTGCTGCTGTGGCTGGAGCTGGGGCAAATCCTGCTGTGCTGGGTGGGCTCCCCAAAATCCCCACCTGCTGCTCCGTGCCAGTGCCAGCAGGTCCCTGAGCCCCTGATGGGGGTGGCAGGGACTCAGGGGAGGATTTGGGATCTGGCAGGATCTGACCACAGCTCCCTGAGCCGCCAGCTCTGCCTGTCCCCTGCTGCCACCTGCACATCAGAGCCCAGGAGCTCTTGGATGGATGATTTCAGGTTTGCCTTGGGCTCGTGTCGCTGAGACTGGGATAAACCTCCCAGCCAACAGGGACGTGCCAGGATCCAGCCCCACTCCCCTCCCCCCCATCCTCCTATATTAAATTTCACACATAAAACTGCAACTGAAGAGCATCTCGGAGGGAACTGCTAAAAATAGCCCCGAGGCTGGAGCCTGAATTGTGCAGGAGAGTTCATGTGCAGCCCGATCCCTGCGCTCTCCCTGAAACATTCCAGGGCTCGGCGCTGCTTTATGGCGATGCGGGGAAGCGGAGCAGCAGCTCGGGCTGGAAATAACCCCCGGGACACAGAAATATCCTGTTCCTTGCAGGGAAATACCGCCCAGGTCCCTGCCAGCCCGGCTGGGACCCGCTTTGCCCGGTGCTGCTGCCGGGGTGTGACAAAGGCTGCGCCCCCCGGCCGTGGGGCTGTGTCTGCCCTCCCCTCCTCCCCCAGGGGGGATGCGGCGTTGTGTTCCCGCTTTCACCCCCTCCTCACCCTGCAGAGGAGCCCCCGGAGATGATTTTTCCCAGCCGAAGGTGCTGAGGAGGCTGGGGGAGCCCGGGCTCAGCCGAGCCCGTGCGATGGCAGCAGGGCTGTGCAGACACCTCGGTGCTCGCTGGTGCCACCGGGGCCGGAG